TGTTTGTAACATTTCCATGATACAAATCCAGTTTAAAAAAAGAAAAAGTTTTCATTGTAAATAAGAGCAATATTATGACAATTTTGTGCCAATGTTTAATGTTAAGACTTCTGTTTTCCTTTTAGGTTCGGATTGAAAACTACCACTACCATCTCTTGTTTAAAGTGGATTTGAAGAGGTTTCTTACTCGAAAGACATGGGGCTCTAGTTGGGGTCTTTGAGTGATTTTTGCTAAATATGAAATAAGATGCAGGTATTGTTTAATAAATCACCTACAGGTTGTCAGCCAGTCCACTCTGAGAAATACTGCTTTAGATGTACCAGATAACTGAGAGCTGAATAATTCATTTATCCTGAATTTGGAAGCATTTGGTATTTTAAATAACTTGCAAGTTGTAAGCAGTAAGATACATTTTATGCATTTTATTTTTATATATTCTCTCCCAGTTATGAAGAAGAGAAAGCCTGGGGTTTTTTCTCACTACATTTAATGCCAGCTGACATTTCTTCCACATTTCTCTGTTAAATCTTGAAAGCTTATGTCCCATGCAGATAAAGCAGTAACACTTCTTCCTTCTTTTAGAATATCTGACTACAGTCTGGCACACCATCTATTAGAGAAAGGGTGAGAAAGCAGTTGAGAGGTTAAGTAACGTGAGGACTTTGTTATGGAACCCGTGTAGGTGGCAACTTTCCAAGGAGACCTTCCCAAAAGCTTCTTGGTACCCGTGGAAGGGCCACATGCAGCAGATAGGCTGCAGTTGCACTGCCCAGGAAGTAGGCAAGGTCTGGCCTAGAGATGCTGGAGCTCCAGGTATGCCATGGAGTTTAATTACGTGCTATTTTTATGCTTCTGCAGTGTGTGTGCAGGTGTGTGGGCGATGTTGGATGGCTCAGGGAATTAGCCTGAGCATGAAAAACTCTACAGATCTACCAATTTCCAAGTGAAATCAGGTTGTCCAATACATATGCTGTAGTTTTGACTGTAGAGCCACTATGCAGGCAATCTTCAAGATCCTCAGCCCTCACAATAAGGGGGGGGGGGGGGGGGGGTAGGGGTTTGGGC